AAATGCCTGTCAAAAGTCTAACCGAGTCTAGACTATCTTGGTATTCAATTCAATCTATAATTTACTTCCTATAATTTACACATACACACACACATATACATGTGTGTATGTTTCACATTATCTTATGGCATTTAAAAACATGTGTAATTTGATAATTCTATATAAAATTCAATACTAATCATTGTTATTCACATAAAATTAAAACCTCGTGCTACTTTCATTACCATGAAAAGCATATGTAATGGGTAAAATCCAAAACACTAACAATAACAAATGAAGCACCCTCATTCATTGCTGGTAAATAGATAAAATGTTCGCCATGGAAAGCCATTTGGAAATCTCTTACAAAACTGAACATTGTTTTACCATACATTCCAGAAAATACACTACGAGATAGTTAGTAAAAATGAATTAAAGACTTATGTCCACATAAAAAACGTGAACATGAGTGTTCATACTTGACAAAAACTGGGAGCAACAAATATTTTCTTCAATAGATAAATGAATAAACAAAGTGTTGTAAACCCATAAAATGGAATATTATTCATAGTAAGAGGAAATGAGCTATTAAGTCCTAAAAAGATATGGGAGAACCTTAAATGGACATTGTTAAGTAAAATAAATAAATTAGTCTGAAAAGACTACAGACTGTATGATTCCAATTATATGATATTCAAGAAAAGGCAAAACCATAGAAAGAGTAAAAACATCAGTGGTTACAAAGGGTTGGGGGAAAATAGGAAAGGATTAATAAGGGATGTTTAATTAATAATAAGGGATGTTTAGGTCACTTAAGCTAATCTGTATGATACTGTAATGGTGGGCACATCATATTATGCATTTTTCAAATCCCACAGAACTATACAATTCAAAGAGTGAATACTAAAGTAAACTATGGACTTTATTTAGCAAAAATGTATCAGTATTGGCTCATCAAATATAGTAAATGTACCACAGAAAGACAAAATGTTAATAATAGTGAGAATTATGTAGAGGGAGAAATATGGGAATTCTCTGTACTCTCTGCTCAATTTTTCTATAGACCTAAACTTCTTTAAAAACAAAGTTTATAAATCCCAAAAAACATTTTGAAAGCATATGTAGGTAGTATTAATGCTGGCCCTGGAAATAATTTTTCTAATTTGTAACATACTGACATAATAGTTGTTAAACAAAACCTATTAACTATACTGTGTCATAAAAATTAAAGTTCTTTAAATGTCTAACTATATTCCAAAAGATATTTAGTCAACATTCTAAATTAATAAATTAATAATAAATTAATCACCCCTCTCATATGGCTGTCTTGAGGATTTTTGAAAATTCTTTTTCAAAATAAAATGTTCATACTATGTTGGTACATTGCTCATTTTTATTGATTTTCAGTATAATTTTCATTTTTACAAAGCTTAATGAATATTTTGCCTATAATCTATTCTTATGTAACTGAATTTAGAAGTTGCTAATTCTTTATAATGATCACATCATTATATATTTGGCTTTATATATTTGGCATTATATATTTGGCTATGGAAAGCCTTATGCAGTATTTTTCAAACTTCAACATGTATAAGACTCAACTGGGGATCATTTGAAATACAGATTCTAATTCAGTTGACTTGAGGTGGTGCCTGATAATCTGCATTTCTAGTAAACTTCCAAACAATGCTGATGCTTGCCTACATCTTGAGTAGCAAGGTTCCAGAGAATATCTAGCTCATAAAACTATTACTAATGCCACTGTGAAAAACAAACCCAAAAACCTAGGAGTCTTTGCAAGGGATTAAAGAAGTGTTTGTTGTTGTTGTTGCTTTTCTGTTCTTTTACCTGAAGAAGCTTTCAGGGCTCTCAGCAATTCTAAATCTGCTTTCCCAATATATAAACCTTCTCAATTTCGTCTATCAGGAGGAAGGCTTTCTAACCTTTGTACGGTGAGTAAGCTACCTATTTAGTCATAATACCCTCTTGGCTCATATGAACCAAAGACCATCTATTTCTAGTTCAATTCCTCAATTTATATGTCTTCAATTGAAAAGGGATCAGGTGACCATCTCAAGGTCACTTATCCAATAACTGTAAAGGTCAGGTCTCAAATCCAGCTTTCTGATTCCAAAACCAGTCCTTTTTCTTCTGTTTTCTTGGTTCTTTTAATAATGATGCACTTCAGAGAATAGGGATCAGATGGTTTAGACAACAATACCCCAGTTCTGAATTGAATCTCTCAGCCTGGGGCTTCTCATTGCAATTCCTAATAAAGGTTTAAGATCTTGTGTGTGTGTGTGTGTGTGTGTGTGTGTTTGGGGGGTTGGTGGTGTGTGTGTGTGTCTGTGTGAGTGTGCGTGTGTGTCAGGGGCAGTCAGATATATTAAGGGAGAGGATTTTTTTGTACTTTAAAGTAAACCTTGAAATCTAACAAAATGATATGGATTTATGAGCTTATTTGAGCATGGTATAAGGGTAAGAAAGAAAAGACTTGTATGTCTCACCATGGAGAATGAGGACAAAAATGATCTGCTCTATCTCCCCAAAACTGATGGCTCTCTTGAAACAATTCACAGCCAACCACGTGAGGGAGTCAGGGGCAGGTGGACTCATATCCAGAAACACCTTTCCCGAGAAACCTCACTTATGTGGGGACAAACAAATGACCTGGTGTCTTCAATGGGGACTTCCTGGCCATTAAAGACAACTGAAACTAAACTGACCTTCACAATATGAAGAAAACAAGGCTCAGAGATGGGAAAAGAACTTTCTATTAATGTATAGATATCATTAATTAGACCTAAGATTTAAGGTTTCCTAATTTCTGGTTAAGGGGCATGCCCCAACTTTACTCTGACTTAAACAGTAGGTCCAGGTGGGAGGGTTAATAAATATGGAATATTTAAGTGACATCAGGAGTCTATACATGTCTTCAAAATATTGTCCTTCTAAACCAGGGGTCCTCAAACTTTGTAAACAGGGGGCCAGTTCACTGTCCCTCAGACTGTTGAAGGACTGGACTATAGTTTTAAAAAAACTATGAACAAATTCACTGCACATATCTTATTTTGAAGTAAAAAACAAATGGCCAAAAACATGCGCATGTGGCCTGCGGGCCATAGTTTGAGAACGCCTAGTAAAACCCTTTGAGGATTTCTTCTAACAGTAAGAATCTCCCTTTTCATACTCTTACCTTCTCCTAGACCCCTGTACCATAAAAAAAAAAAAAAACCTAGTTAGGTTGACATTGGATAGAAAGCCTGCCTCTGAACACTGGAGAACATCCCATCATAGAAATCCTATTCTTTTTTCAGAGGAATCCTCTGTAAATGTGTGCGCTATATAAAAGCAGCTCAGAATTGAGGGTCTTCAGTGGCATGCCAGACTGTCTCTTTCAGAGCACTGTTTACAAGACTACATCACAAGGTTCTACATGGAAGAAGTAGTAATATTCTCTTCCAAGGATTAAGTGAATGCCAAGGCAGCAAAGATTCTTAGCTCATATCTATTTTTCCAGGGCTATGTGGAAGTGTTCATGTGTGAAGGCTGTGTAGTAATGCTACTGTCAGGGACACCCAGCCTTGGTACCCCTAGACCCAGTATGAGAAAAATCAGTAGCCTCTCATTGCTTTGTTGGTGGTCTTAGCTATTAGAGCCAATTATAAGCAGCTTAGGTGCCAGCTGCAAGAAGCTTAAGTGCTCACGTACTATAACAGCCTCTACAGAAATTCTAGCAATTCCAGGCCATGGCAAATTTCCAGACAAGTACAAGATGCTCCCAAAGTCTCAGAGTCAGGAGGTACTCTATGTTTTTTGCTGGTGGTGGGAAATCTGGCTCTTGCTGACATATCCAACTTTGCCTTGTCCTTCTTAACACCATTAATTTATCCATCAGTGTAGTATTCATGGCTCACATATTCCCTTCCCACTCTTCCTACCATGAGCCATTCACCTCCTTCTTATCAACATCCTATTCCTCCTTCAAGACTTGCTCATATGTGGCAACCCCTTGGAAGAAATTCCCCTGACAGCTTCGAGTCCGCTATAGCCTCGCTGCTTGCTGAACACCTGCAGCAGTGAGGAGCCCACACCAAACTCATTTGGCATTTATATTTAGCCCTGCTTTTAAGAAGAAATCATCACAAGTGGACCTACTTTATTTAACTTTCCAGGGTAAATGAGAAACAGGATAAAAGAAAGAAGTGCAGATAACATACTTCTTGTTGCACTTTCAAAGATTTTTTTTTTTTGAGACAGAGTCTCACTTTGTTGCCCAGGCTAGAGTGAGTGCCGTGGTGTCAGCCTAGCTCACAGCAACCTCAAACTCCTGGGCTCAAGTGATCCTCCTGCCTCAGCCTCCCAAGTAGCTGGGACTACAGGCATGCGCCACCATGCCCAGCTAATTTTTTGTATATATATTTTTAGTTGGTCAATTAATTTCTCTCTATTTTTAGTAGAGACGGGGGTCTCGCTCAGGGTGGTTTCGAACTCCTGACCTTGAGCAATCCGCCCGCCTCGGCCTCCCAGAGTGCTAGGATTACTTTCAAAGATTTTCATACTAAAAATGTCAATGAGTAAGAAGGAGAAAACTGGCTTAAGGTCAAGGTGAGTAGTTTTGGTGTTTTGTTTTGTTTTTCTTTCTTGGCATAATCTCTGAACATAATCACCAGAATAATTTTGCGAAAGCTTGAAGAATGTAGCTTTATCGCAAGTATGAAAGAAAGAGACAGATATCAATTTAATATAAAGAACAACTTTTTGCAAGTATGGCTGAACAATAATAAAAAGACCAACCAGAAGACCACTCACCCTCCCTCATCACTGTGAGAATTAAAACATGGTCTGGGTGTCCTCAGCTGTGGATATGGCATATTCATGAGGGGAAAAGCAGCATTAGTCGAATGCTAGGGCTCTTTGCTGCTCTAAGATTCTCCGATTCTAGTACAAACAAGAATGACAACGACTTGTATACTCTGCAATCAATAATAATAAAAGAACGATGACTATGAATAACTTACTGTGCTGACAGTGGATCCCATTAAATCCTCGAGGACATTTACAAACATAGCCTATAAATGTGTCCCCTCGGTATGCTTCACTTATTTCACAGGTTCCTCCATTATGGCATGGATTAGGAATACAGGGACCTGAAAGAAATAAAACATATTGCTGCATGATACATATGCTTAAAAGTAGACATTAGGTCGACATTTTGCAAACAATAATTTTATAGAAAAAAAGTATTTTAGATATTAGTGGTATAGGAAATGTACTGGTTGTCTGAGTTCTGGAGACTAATGGCCTGGATTTGAGTCTTGGTTTCACCACTTTTTAGTCATGTGGTCTTGAGAGATTTATTTAACCTTTCTGTGCCTCAGTTTCCTCTTCTGTGAAATGTCAATACTAATAAAATGTAACTTAAGGGCTTTACAGATGAAGAGTTTATACATACAAAATACCCAGAACACTGTCTGTCACATATTAAGCACTCAGAAAATATTAACACTAAATGAAATACATTATTAAAATTTTTGAATTGTAGGATATCTGCTGCATGTCTAGAAAGTAATACTGAATGGCAATTTTTGAAGTCGTGAACACTGAAGAGCTTTATTTCCCTGCTTATGCAAGTAGCATATGGCTGTAACCACAAAAACCAAGTGAATCAGATAGCCGTTTGCAATGCTTTTACAGACTATGTATATGTTTATAGTGTAGCATAACTTGGGAGAAGCACATTTTTTGCCAACCTAAAAGAAGCTCATCAAATGTTGCATTTTTAATTTCAGAATATTACGGGGGTACAACACTTTTGTTGCATATATTGCCTTTGCACTGCCTGAGTCAGAGCTACAAGCCTGTCCATCCCCAAGAAAGTGTGAACTGCACCCATGAGGTGTGAATTTACTCACCCCCTCCCACATGCCTGATGCACAATGAATGTTATTTCTATATATGCACATAGTGTTGATCAATTAGTACCAATTTAATGGTGACTACATGTGGTGTTTATTTTTCCATTCTTGTGATATTTCACTTTGAAGAATATGCTCTAGCTCCATCCAGGATAATACAAGAGATATTAGTTCACCATTGATTTTCATTGCAAATATGTGGAAATAACCCAAGTGCTCATCAATATGTGAGTAGATTAATAAAATGTGGTGTATGTATACCAAAGAGTAGTACTCATCCATAAAATGTTGCCTATTTAGAGAAGAGGGGCTGACAGTCATTTTTAAGCTTTGAGAAAGTGTTAGGTCATTAAATATGAAATGTATGATTTCAAATCAAAGTGTAGTTTATTATATCTCAAACAAGAAGCAGTACAATTAATCAAAATATGAGCCTAAACTGTCAACACAGTTTTGCAAACTTAACAGTAGCTTGTTTATGCCAGCAGCAAACAAGCCAGGAGAGTGAGTAGAGAAGAAATCCCAAAACACATTTTCCATAGCTTGTTCAGAATTGAATATTTTTCCTTGCAAGAAGTGGTTTAAAGTCTGGAAAAAGTGCTACTCAGTTAGTGCAAGGTCCAGTAAACATGGTGGGTGACAGCGAGATTTCGAGTCCAGCTTCTGTAGTGTGAGCCTCGTTGTTTGTGCAACACGTGGCCGAGAGTTGTCTTGCGACAGGATTGGCCTGGCTCTGTTGACCAATCTCGGTTGCTTAATCACAAGCATCCTCATCATTTCATCCAATGGTTGCAGTAGACATCCTCTGTAATAGACTGTTCAGGTTTCATGGAGCTGTAGTTGATAATACCAGCGTTGGACCACCAAACAGACACCATTAGCTTTTAGCTTTTTTCATGAATATTCAGTTTTGGACTGTGTTTTGGCACTACATCTTTATCTAACATTGTGTTGAATGCTTGTGATTGCCAAAAAGAATCCATTTTCATCACATGTAACAATATGGTGTAGAAAAGATTCACCTTTATATCATGAGAGCAAAGAAAGGCAAGCTTTGAGAAGACCTCTCTTTGGCACTCATTTAATTCATGCAGAATCCATCTACCCAGCTTCTTTACATTACTAATTTGTTTCAGATAGTCCAATATTGTTGGAATAGTAATATCAAATCTTGCTGCTAACTCACACATAGGTTGAGATGGATTTGCTTCTACTACCGCTTTCAGTTCATCATTGTCCACCTTGGTCTCAGGTCATCCACGTGGCTCATTTTCAAGATTAAAATCACCAGAAGGAAACTTCTCAAACCATCGATGTACTGTGTGTTCAATTGCCACATCCATCCCAAACACTCCGTTGATATTTCGAGCTGTCTGGGCTGCCTTGGTTCCACGAGGGAACTCATATTCAAAAATACCTCGAATTTTTTACTTATCCATGGTTTCACAAAAATTGGTCTAAAAAAATTTGCAAGATAATCACAAGCCAAGCTATGCATTTGAAAAAATGAGGATACACCTTCAAAATAAAAATAAAACAAGAAGTGTGAAAGTGAAATGTCAGAGACATCAACTGCCAAACTTAATACTTAAGGAAATCGGACATTTCATACGTAAGAACTTAGTATCTTCAGCAGAGTATTAGGCACCTGTGGCAGCCAATGGATGTGTGGTGCTCAAATCTTTCTTTGGAGAGAACAGCTGCCAGCTGTGTCTTTAGCTCACAATGTCCAGCTAGTGCACCATAGGAATGGTGACAGCAGCATTCATTCCAAGGAGGCCACACTCACCAGGGATGGCTGAGCACCACAGGGGTGCAAAGCTGAGCCAGCACTGCCTGACCTAGGACTCCTCTAATGAATACTCTTCACTCTGGGGCAGCCCCCTGTTTTGGCTGAGGTTTTCTTAAAAACCATGGCAGTCTGAAGGTTTTTTCTATGCAATATTCTTTCCTTCTTTTTCTCCCTTCAGAAGTGACAGGCTTGTGTCACAGTCTGAAGGCTCATCCTAGCTACTCCTATTGTCCATCCCAGTCGCCAATGAATCTTTTGTACTTCTAATTCTGGGTTAAGGTTTGCTTCCTGGAAGATACTAATTGATTCAGAACTGAAACCAAACTGGAGATTTTGAAGAAGGGGAGAGTCAAGTTGAAGGAAAAAGGATTTTCCCTGGAAGATGTAGAAAGGGCAAGCAAAAAATATAGTTTTCTCTGTATTTATTTTATTTGGAGAGACTAGAACACAGTTATAAGAAAAGTCACCCAAGAGAAAGTTAAATTGTACATATAGTAGAAATATATGAAAGTGAGAGTAATTATATAGAAAAATGAGAGTAATTACACTAAGTGTCTGACTATGTATTAAGAGGTAAATTTGAGAACTTTGGAAGAAGATTAGTTAAGGCAACGAGTGAGTGCTTTCAGCTGAGATGAGGGTTGGACACATGAATAGTGATAACTTGAGAAAACTGGATGTGGGATCCACCAGGCAAGGCTTAGTCAAGGAGTGCAACAGTGAGTGAGTGCTGGAGTATGGTGTCAAAGCCATTTAAAGACTTATGGAAAAGAAAGGAAATTCACTATCTCACTTTGAGCAGTGCAATAGGACATCAACAATGGTTGGGAAGCCCTTAGAAACAGGGCAGCATTAGGGCAGGATTTTATGATTCTGTTCCTTTCTCCAGCAGCTGACACTCCATTTCTTTCAATGTTAAAGTGTTATGAAATTCAATGGTTGTAGAGTCTAATAAGAATACGAAACACTATGAAGTTTACAGTGCTTGGACTTTTACTTCCTGATAGGGGTGGCTTTCAAAAAAGTAAACAGAAATTGGAGGATCTGTGATGTTTTCCCTAGATATCTCCACACCAATTAAAAATAATGCATTTATTTAACCAGGCAGTTTTGTGCTGCAGTTCGTATCAATTAAATTCCCTAAAACCTGCCCTTTATGTTTGAGAGAGGGAGGAGGTGCAGGACCAATGCTTAATTACGGAGCAATTTGAATCATTTTCTTCCACTGCTTAAAGATGCAAAGCATACTCAGAGCCCGTTTCTCCTCTTCTTTCTCAGTTTCCACTTCTCTCCTCTTAAATTAATTAACATTTGATAGTGATAATTTACAAACTCTTTTTCACATAAATAATTTAATTTATTCCTCACCACAACTCAACAAGGTAGTTACTGTTATTCTTTTGGTAAAAGGAGTGTAAGTTCTAAGAAAATGAAGATTGTAAAGATTAGATAATATTTCTCAATCATCTACCAGTGGCACATTCAGGCCTTAGATTAAATATCTATCTGTGCTTCTAAAACATACACTCTCAGGGCATCAACTAAGTGAGGAAGGAATAGTAAAGTAAAAGTGATATTAAAGTTCTGACTCATCGATTCACTTCAAAATAAGGAAAAAATTCATGACTTAGATTTTTAAATTAACTGATAACTGATAGCGATGCATACAATTGCTAAAGAAAAAATGTATAAGTAATTAGAGTCAAAGATTTATATAATTTTAAACAAATAAGGAACCTTGGAGGTCACATAATACAATTTTTCAATTTTGTAGATAAGAAAACAAAACTAAATACAAATTCAGTAATATCTCTAAAATGCCAGAAAATATAAGGAAAATTATGTGTAAGAAATTGTACCTAGGAGGAAAAAATAGTTATTAAAACCCAAACCGATGAAAAATTCCTCAAGAGAATGGAGTAATTTACACAGGAAGAAAATAAATCTCTTTTCTGCATCCTTATACTTACAGAGTTGGATGAGGGAGGGATAAAAAATGAGTAAGGTTGGGGTGGTGGCTCATGCCTATGATTCCATCACTTTGAGAGGCTGAAATGGGAGAATTGCTGGAGGTCAGGAGTTCAAGACCAGCCTCTGTCAGTTCTTGAGAGCAAATGAAGCAATGATTTTGAGGAAAGGGGTCAATGGATGTCACTAACAAAAATGGGCTGAATATGAGCCTGGAATAAGTGGTAATGTTTACTCAAGCCTACTGCATCTTTGGAAAAGGAAAACTTGGCTAAAAGGTGAGGGGGACAAGATGAGTCAAATGGATCTGAATAATAAAGGGGAGAACTAGGGAATGGATGGAAAAGACCAAGGAGAGGATATCTCAAAAGCAAAGCTGGAAGTAAAGTCTTCAGGGAGACAGGAGCTCAAGCCATGTGCTGGGAGGCTGTAATATGTGATGAGAAGCAGCTGGTAAGAGACTGTGATGTCC